ATGTGATAATAGTCCGCTTCTGCATTCCTGGAAGTGAGGCAATGGACACATGCTCTTGATTGGCGAATGTTATGTATTCATATACCTGCAGAAACAACCAGAAAAAGATATACATAAAAAAGGATCCTTCAAAACTCCAAGAAATAATTTACTCATCTTTCTTGATCCTATTCATGCTTCACAAGTATAAGCAAAAGTGTTGTCATACTTCATCTGTTATAGCCAGGCAATCCCATTTGCCACAAGCTTCAGCAATAACTTCAAGCTCTTCTCTAGAGAAAACTTTGCCAGTTGGGTTGTGAGGACTGTACAAGTTTTAGAACATATTTTAATAAATTGTTTACCTTTTCAAGTATGTTACTAGTAAACAATTTTGCATATCATTAAGATACTAGTAAATTTGCCAAATCATATTATCTGCAAATCAAGTTTCATGCATTCAATATTTATGAATGCATTAAATGCTTCTAACTGATTATGCATAAAAACGTTAAGATCCTAAGCCAGAAGATTGCTCAAAAAATACTTAAATCCAAGTTTTACAACTTTCAAGTACTTTTTTTCACTTGAATCATAGTTTATATGTTAGTATTCTTATATAACGGACATATGAGTCTGGAATAAAGGTTTTAAGAGTGAGTTTTAAACTGTAGTCCATAGTCCATAATCCATGAAAAACAAATAAAAACTATCTGACCTGTTTAATACTATAGCCTTTGTTTTTCTTATGAAAGACTTCATCAATTTGTTAGGATCCAAGGTCCATCGAGGTGGATCAAGTGCCACATATACCTGCAATGTCCAATTTTCTTTTCAATAACAGAGTCGATAACTATCAATTCTAACAGGAAATCCTTAGCATTTACACTCAAACGTATGGCTAATATTCTTAAACCTCAGCTCTCACTAATTAATAATTAAAAGCTTACAGGAATTCCTCCAGCCATGGTTATGCATCCTTCATATGTTTCATAACAAGGGTCAAACAACACAACTTCATCTACCTGGTCTGTAACTATTTAGACAGAAAAAAGGTTATTGTTCAACTAAAATGGCATATTTGTAGACACCATAAATAAAATAAATAAATAAATAAATTAAATCAAAATTAAAAAAGGTGTCGTCAGCAGAAGAGAGACGGAGGATTTGGGTGCGCTGCTGGAGTAAGAGAGAGGGAGAAAAAGGTATCACCGGTTGGAGTTTAGAGTGTTTGGGCAGGCACCGTTGATTGAGATTCGGGTTTCTTGGGATGTTTGTTGCCGATGAGAGGAAAGGGAGAGACGCCAGTAATAGGGAGGAAAAAGAAAGGCCGCTGGCGTAGAAAGAAAGAAGAAAGGAGAGGGAAAGAAGGAATAAAATAGAAAATTAGAGAGAAGTTACGGAGGGTGCGGCTAGAGAGAGAAAGGAAAGGTGAAAATAAAGGAAAAAAAAAATTTATACCAAGGTGTAATGATTCCTAAACGACGCCGTTTTGAAGTGGTGAGGAAAGAGTAAATTTCGGCTCAAATCACTTCACTTGGAGAGACTTTGAAGCACCAAACGGTGCGTTTTGAAAGGGATTTAGTGGGTTAGTGCGGATTATTTTCTTAATACATGTAATTATATATAGGATATTTAATATCTCATACACATATATATTTATTTATAAAGTTATATCATTTAAAATAAATAATATATTAATGCATGTTTATATATAATTACATATATATATAATTTGTATACACTAACAAATTTAATATATTAAATATATTATATAATAAATTTACTATATATATCAGTTTTCTTATTTTCTTAATTTATACTAACTAATATTAGTATATATCTAATAAAGTATTATTAGTTTTTTTGAATATATTACTAGATTTTATCCACTATTTTAATAAAATTTAAAAAAATTATTACGTTATTTTTATAAACTTTTTAATTTTATAACATTAATAAATTTTGAGCAATTAGTTTATAATTTATGATTCAATAAAGTTTTCAAAATATAAAAAAAATAATAAACAAAGAAAAACATATTTATATTTTTATATTATAAATCTCAGTATGTACATATTTAATATTATTAATATATTACCTTAAAGGATTAATAAAATTTTTAAAAAATGTTAATATATTTAAAATAAAAAAATAACAATATCGATATAATTGTCAAACAAAATTCTATTAGAAAATTTTCATTGGTAATGGCTGTATTCCAACTGAAAATTTCGTTAAAAAATTTAGCAAGTTTTAAATTTTTTTTGGCCTCTAAACTTTACGACGGATTTCCAACGGATTATTGTCTGTTGAAAAATTCCGTTGGAAAGTTTGATGGGAGTAAACTTTTTTGAGGCCTTAAATTTTTCAACAGATTTTCAACGGATTATTTTTCGTTGAAAAATTCCAACAAAAATCCATTGAAAAGTTTGGCGGGAGTAATATTTTTTTTACACAAAAATAAATTTTGATGGATTTTGAAAATCTATTAGAAAAAATTAAAATAAATTTCCTTTTTGTCGGAAAAAATCAATTTTCTTGTAGTGATAGAACTAAAGTAGTAGATGTTACTCCCCTAGGTAGAGCCGCTCCACTTAAAAAATCCCTTGCTGCCTCAAGTAAGTCATCTGCAATAATATCCCAGTAGTGTTGATAGAAAAAGGAAGAAAAGCCCTCCAATCCAGCCACACTATTTTTATCAATGGAGAATAGTGCTTCTTTTACTTCTTGTATTGTTGGAGCTGCACAAAGGCAGTTAATTTATTTGTAATACAACAAGGGATTAAAGAATTGTTGAACCTGGAATTATCACAAGATTCTGCTTGCAAGAGGTGAGCAAAATATTCTACTGCTGAAGCTTGAACCAAAGCTGTATCCTCAAGGAAAGTTCCATCTTCTTTTTGGATTCGGAAGATATTATTTTTTACACCCTTTTTTCTCACTCAACAAGCCATTTTACCCCTGCCTTTTGCTGCCAGAAACATTCCTCAATGCCCAAAAGATGATTAAGCTGTGCATAAGAGCGTTGCATATGTGCTGTCGGCTCTTGTTGGAAGCATAAGCTCACTCTCCTCTGCTTTCTTTTCTGTTGCCCTTAGGTTACTAAAAATGTCTCCAAAAACATCTTTGTTCCACCATTTCAAATGTTTTTTCAACCTCAACTGTTTTTGCCAAAAAGCCATCATCCCTGTACCCTCCAGTTTTGCTCAACAAATGCTAAAACACCATGATGTTTTGTCCAGGCATTTAAGAATCTAAAAGAAGCTGGCCCTTTGAAAGGTGATATATGCTGAACAGGAAATGGTAATGGGTCAGTGGCATGATTATTGTGAGTCTTTATTATTATTAGTCTTTTTAATTTACAAATCATATAAAATTATTATTTATTATAAATTTTTAACTCTCATTCCTCTTCGTGCGTGCTTGGCTCTTTTAACAAAACTTGGCTAACTTCACTTTTTACTAAAATATCTTAAAACATTGTATCGAAGGTTTCTTTATTTTTTTTATTAGGAATACTTTGACATCGTGATTTTAATTTATTTATTTATTGGGACAATTGGAAGATTATATCTCAGTATGCAAGACTTTAGGAGGAACAAGTGTCTCATGGGAGAATTAGCCCCAGTTGGGGTTTATCACACAACAATTAAAATGAGACAACATCAACAACATGTGGTTAGCAAAGTCCAATGACCTTCTTTGACTTGAAATACCAAACATTTTAGCATTGTAAGATACTTTTTTTTTTTCCTTAGTGTTTGACAAAAGAAGATAAAAGCCAATTGTTTTGGATGATATAACTATCTCCGCTTCGGATAAAGTCATGTATATTTTTTTCCCTTAATTTTTCTGAATGTAAGCATTGTGGGGCGTATAAGGTGTATGGATACGAGAAGCCATTCCCACCACTCATTACAATCGACCAAAGCAAGCTGCCAAACCCATTCTCGCACCTGCCTTTCCACCCAAAAGAAAAATACACCAAAACCCAGAACTAAAAATGCACACTCCTCCATTCTTCTTCCTCCACCACCTACTTCCTTTTCACTTCCAATTTCCATGGCCAATAATTCACGTGAGTAATACTCTTCATATTTTCTTCTCCCAACGTTACCTCCTCTGCTTATACTTATTCTGCAAGACATGACTCCCTTTTCTTGTTTACCTTCTGCAGGAAACACCGCCTCACCCGAAGCATTTCTTTTGCGAAATCCCCACTTACATGTGCCCAAATACCGCTACAATGAAACGCAGCTACCCAAGAAAGAGAGTCTTATGTGGAGGCCTTTCCAAGTTCCAACCAGGCCTTATCGTCCAATATTGAGCTTAACAAACTCTAAACTTATGCACCCTTCAGCCAGTATCTCTTCTTTTGCAGAGGCAGAAGGTGAGAAAGAGCAAAAAGAAGGAATCCAACTTGAAACGCATGATCAAGAAGATGCAAAAACAAATGAAGATGACCTGCCTGGAATGGCTCAAGCTTTTCATATATCTTCAAGAACTGCTTCTGCTATTGCTATATTCATAGCATTTGCAGCTTTGAGTCTTCCCTTTTTTATGAAGTCTTTGGGTCAAGGAGTTAGCTTAAAGACCAAGTTTTTATCATATGCAACACTTTTATTTGGATTTTACATGGCTTGGAATATTGGAGCCAATGATGTGGCTAATGCCATGGGAACTTCAGTGGGATCAGGTGCATTGACCCTGCGTCAGGCTGTGTTGACGGCAGCGATTTTGGAGTTCTCTGGAGCATTGTTGATGGGAACTCATGTGACCAGTACAATGCAGAAAGGAATTCTTGTTGCTAACGTGTTTCAGGGGAAGAATAGTCTGCTTTTTGCTGGATTGCTCTCTTCTCTGGCAGCCGCTGGTACTTGGTTGCAGGTGCGTTGATTGAGCTTCATCTCTTGTAAATTTTCCTACTTTTGATAGAAAGATTATATGCTTTAAAATCTTTTGTTTTCTTGATTAATCTAATTCGTGTTATAAGATTCAATTAATGAAGAGCATGTTCTAGTTGTGACTTTTGTTATTTGTTGCCGAAGACATGCCAATACGACAAGATCATACGCTACTGTCTAACAATGCGAACTAATGAACCCCAATACAACCACCTTTACCGGCCTCAATGAAATAAAATTGGAAGGGAATTGATGGATCTGGCTTAGTGCTTCCTTTTACTGCCTCCCTGTGCCCACGGAAATGTACTTCATATATTTTGTGGGAAAAAATTTTAAAGAACTTTAAATTCCCACACTTGACCAATTGATGCAACCCTTAGAATCAGCACATTTGCAATTAGACTTTTTATGCTGCTACCTTAAGCTTTTCACTCTGTATGCTTAAGATCCAAAACTGAGGGACCTAAGAAATTTGATGATTACATTTTACCTATGAATTGGTTCGTTGTTAAAATATTTTGACATGCCTTTTGCAGTATCTTCCTAGTTTATTGGTTTTCAAACTTTTAATGATCCCTGCGGTTGGTATTATCAACGAAGCCATTAGATTCTTATAATCCATGTTACATTGGGTTGTTGTGTTGCGGCCAGATATCTCTAAATTGTTTTTCCTTCCCATATCCTCTAAACGGGTGCCAAGATATATAATAGTATCGAGACGGTTGGCATAACAAATTTATATTGGGTCTTGAAAGGAAATATAAAGAAGCCAAAGCAGAGTTATTATGCATTGGCATCGTAAATATTTTGTACTATTCAGTCCAGTTAATGTCAACTCACTTGTATGTATTGACAATCTTATGGAATTGCTCATTGCTCATCCTGTTGGGACAAAAAGAGATGGCTAGAACGAGTTTTAATATACGGAGGGATAATACACTGAGGAACGAAATTCGTCCCTCTCGTATGTGTTTCACTGGTCTCCCAGGTAAGTTTTGAACATCTTCGAAGCTTCTTGTGCCAATAATGTGAGACTCAAGGACAAATAGTTCGCTGCCTCCTACACTTTCTCCCATTTTCTCTTTCCTCGCAGGAATGAGTAGTAGATAGGCAAGGCTACATAGGCAGTGAAATATCACGAGGATATTTAAACTTCTCCAGAAAAACTGTTAAAGACTGATATGCTCCAAGATCAGAATGAACGACAATGCGGATAATCATCTGCTTGCCTCTTTAATAGTAGTTCCTAGAACTGCAACAAGTTCAAGTATCCTTCAGCACCTCAATTAATTATCTCTGTGGGTTTAACTTTCTGAACTTCATAGTGGACATAAAAATGAAAAAAGAAGTTTTAAGCAATCGTTTGAACTCTGGATTAAATGGAATTATGCTTGTAGCAACACTTGTCCTGGCAGGCAACCATTAACTATATGGTTTCTCTTTTGTTTAGCGCCCTGACTTTGAAACCAGTTGCTTTTGTAACATTTATAAGCTATAGTCTCCACCTTTTTTGCTCCTGTAAATCTTTCATTATGTATTACCCAGGTTGCATCATATTATGGTTGGCCAGTTTCCACCACGCACTGTATAGTAGGATCAATGGTTGGATTTGGCCTGGTTTATGGGGGAGCTGGCGCTGTTTTCTGGAGCTCATTGGCAAGGGTAACTTCATCGTGGGTTATCTCACCTATAATGGGAGCAATGGTGTCATTTCTAGTGTACAAATGCATCCGCAGGGTATGTTCTTTCTCTTTGGAATAATAACCAGCCTAGCTTCGTGTTTACATGGGGATTTTTCCTTGTCTTCTACATACAGATTTTCCCGTTTGTTGGGGAGATTTTGCCGAAAATTCTTTTCCATCGTTGAACCTTGGTTTAACTATCATTTAGACGCTTCCACTTGTTCTTACAACCTGTCTACTTTTTTCTTAGTTTGTTTACAGTGCTCACAATCCTGGGCAAGCAGCAGCTGCAGCAGCACCAATTGCTGTTTTTGTGGGTGTAACTGGAATTTCTTTTGCAGCCTTTCCATTAAGTAAGAGCTTTGCCATTGCTCTTGCCCAGGCTTTGGGCTGTGGAGCAGCTGGGGCACTCTTTGTTCACAAGATTATCAACAAACAGCTTGGCCATCTCCTGGTCAAATCCACTTCATCATCACACTCAGAGCCACAAGAGAACACTACTCAGAACAAAAATCTCGGGCTTCTCTCAGAAATCGCAGGGCCTAAAGGCACCCAGCTGGAAATAGTTTATGGGGTCTTTGGATACATGCAGGTGTTGTCAGCTTGCTTCATGTCGTTTGCCCATGGTGGAAATGATGTCTCCAACGCGATAGGCCCTCTGGCTGCTGCATTATCTATTCTTCAAGGTGGTAGTGGAAATGAGATCGTTATTCCAAATGATGTTCTGGCGTGGGGAGGATTTGGAATCGTAGCAGGGCTTATGATGTGGGGGTATAGAGTGATTGCAACAATTGGGAAGAAGATAACAGAACTCACACCTACTAGAGGATTTGCAGCCGAGTTCGCTGCAGCGTCTGTCGTTCTCTTTGCATCAAAGCTGGGACTCCCAATCTCAGCAACCCATACATTGGTGGGAGCAGTTATGGGAGTTGGCTTTGCAAGGGGACTAAATAGAGTTCGAACAGAGACCGTGAGAGAGATTGCCACGTCCTGGGCGATAACGATTCCAGTTGGTGCTTCTCTTGCGGTATTCTACACATGGATCTTAATAAAGCTTTTGTCAAATGTTTTATGATACTCATTCAACACATTTAAGTGAACAGCCCGATATATGTGATTAATTAGAATCATTCATCTTTTCCCAAATTAATTTGTGGAATGGTTATGCCTTCTTGCATTAATGATGCGATTTCCTTCAACTGGAAATCACTGAAACATTTTGGATGTGGAGAGGACAAAGACTGCAGGAGATTTTGGAGGGAATGTATATGTGTTGAACACTTTATAAAGGACTATATATTTGCAGATTGTGTTTTGCCATGTCGATTAGTTTTTAATTAATAATTTATATTTCAAGTAATAAAGTGACCACCAATTATAATATAATATAACAGCAATCATGGCCGCAACTGACAGCTGAAAGACTGATTATTCTCAATTGAAGCTTATTTATCTACTAATGACATAAGAAGAATAGTAACAGCTAGCATGCTTCATATTCTCATTACAACACGGAAGACCAAAGAAGTGCCGCAGCAAGATATTAGCTCAGCAGTATTGCTCCGGTATATCTGCCTAGCTAAGCTAGTTGTACAAGAGTTATAAAGAGGCAAAGCTTTAATATAGATAATATTCAATCTTTAATAACTAAGTCAAAAAACTGCAGCAGAGTCCAAATTGGATCTCTCAGGTTCATTAAAAAAAAAATGGGGAACTGCTATTTGCTGAAACATTCGCTATTTGAACCCTGGGAATTATCAGGCTTTTGACCACTTGCGAAAATGCTTTTTATTGCATTGTGAACGCAAACTCCTTGGCAGATAAAAGCACTAGGTGTTAGTCTGCATATCCGGTAGGAAAGACAGGCATGTCTGGAATGAGGCAAATGTTTGATTCCAGCATTTTGTTATTATAGTTGAAACATTAGCCAGGAGCCAAATCAACCAGAGTATAATAACGTAAAATTTTAAGTGCAACTTGTGACAAAATAAGGATGACTGAAAAAGCATTCAGTTTACCAGTACCAAACTGGTGCAACAGAAAATTTTCCCCAATAATCTCATCAAGCACGTAAAATTATGCCAAATCATGATATTAGAAGCAGCTGACTGATATCTAACAGAAAAATCTGTAAATAGTGGAAGAATATGACAACGGAAAATATTGAAACAGCATCTTTCTGCAAATGGTCCTCTAATACAAAAAACATGACAAGAACAACATAGAAATGAGAATTGGATGTTTTCAATTTATTTAAGTTGTTATACTAAACTTACAAACATCTCCAGAAACTGACAGGCACATTGAGCAATTCACTGCTTTGCATGATCACATACCTCAACAGGAAGAGGGAAGACCTTCACGTAGAAAAACAGTCATGGAGAAAGTTCCTGTACAGAAGTTAAACTGGGTTCCCACCCTGATTCCCACAATGATCTTGTCCTCGGGAGTGGGGGTACAAAAGGCTTCTTTACCCTTCCACCCGTTCGCAGTGAATATCTAGGTCGCCTCTCCTTTGGAACCTTAGAAGCCTTGGACGGCTTGGTAACATAGAATTCTTTTGCAGAATAAACAGATTCCTCCAAGTTTTCTCCACTTACATCCCAAGTGATCCTTGCATCTGACATTTCTTCTCTGCCTTCAGCAGCTCCTTTGACCTTAACCTTCTCCTGGTGTTTACGCTTCAGTTTTTGGGCTGTAGTGGATGGGATTATGTAATACTTTTGACCAGGCAACAGGCTATCTTCGGGCCATAAAAGGGACTCATGAGGATTATTGAAAACTTCTGGACGTGCAATACACATCCCTGGATATTTTTCCATGACATGAGATACAGGAACAGCATTTTGATAAAGTTCCTCTCGTCCACCTGCATGAACTATCCTCACAGATATGTCCCTTGATTGTAAGGACAAGTCAACAGACATGGGAGTTCCTCCTGCAGCCTTTTTGCTTCCAGAATCATGGTTGGCATGCCTGACAAACCCTAAGAATGGAGCACAGCTCTTCAGCATAGCTGGGGATAAAAAGCTACCTGATCCAGAGGTTTCATTAGATTCTGCTGCATGGGATATGGAGGACCATCTTAGTTTTAATGAAAGTATTCTTCAGCATTACCCACTCTGGATGCCATTTTGTATTTTATGGCCGGCTTCTCTTGTTTAGTATTCTCCCACAGAAAGATTGATAAAACCGAGGCATTACACAAGCACCATCGGCCTTCTCTTTTGTTCTTTTGTTCAAGAATCCCAAAGTTATCCATATAAAAGTTAAGATGACAACAATCACCAACTAGGTCTCAAAAATTTCTAGTCAATTTATTCTGTGAGCAAGCACATCCTTGTGGTAATATCATAGTCCCATAGGCCTGATAATACCTGACGCTCCAACTTCTTCTTTCTTCCACTAATCCAGTTATTATGAAGAACAAGACAACCCTGCTTCTTGCATGCCGATTTCACATTTTTTCTCTCCCATAGCTCCAAGTATGCACCATTTGGAAAAAGGTTTCTGTCTAAGAAATGAATAGTTAAATTTGTTTCAGGTTCCACACATCTATTATCACCTTTGCGAGTGGAACCCTCTTCCCCACATAATGTGTCATAGAAACTTGGTTGTTCAGATAGGCCAGAAGTTGCAGCGTGCCTCACTACTTTCTCCATGGCAGCAATAGTTGGACCATCAGCATGAGCAAAGTAAAAGCCAGAGTTCAGGCGTCTAGGTAAGTTTATAGGTCCTGCAAGGGAACAATACCAGATAAAACTGACTTTTCCATTGACAAAGGGTTGATATTATACTTTCACAGACCTTTGATGGAGATGCTAAACACAATCTGGTGTTCAATTCAAAGAAATAGATAATATTTGTTTTCCGCATAAACCAGACACTGGAAACAGAAAGAAACTTACAAATATATTTTTCCAAAAGAATAAAATGCATGAATTAGAAAAGTGCTCTAAAGTTTAACCCCTTTGAGCTAATATTTTGTTTCCTCCTGACCTAATAGCTTTCATCTATGCACACGTAGTTCATATTTCTAAACCATGGAAATGATTAGTTATTCACAGACTAGTAGTTCTCAGATAATAATCACCTGTCTGGTTGTATTCATCAGACTGAGCAGCAAGAATGGCAGGACCAAAAGAGGAAAGCAATGGCAATGGATTTCTAAACCAGTATACATCCACATCACTCAAAAGTACATTGTACCCAAGCTTCAATATCTTTAGAACCAGTCTGGATTTCACCTTGGTTACTCTCTCAAAGCATTTTGTTCCAAAGTGGCAGTCATTAAAGCTAATGTCACTTGGAGCTGATGGATCATTGAAGACAGGCAGGCCCTAGCACAAAACAGAATGCTTTATTCAGATACATGCAAGCAAAAGGCCCCGGAAAGTTTTGGGGAGAATGGTCAGAAAAGAACTCCCAGCAGATTTCAAGGGCAGTAAATCATCATCATCATTACAGAACTCAGATTTGATACTATTGCATCTCAAAATATTCTTTGGGGCATAAAAAGAACTCAGAGTGTACTGGAGAGGAAACAACCAAACAACTACCACAAAAAAAATATTTAGATCATCCTATTCAATCCCTACCCAGAAGAAAACCTAAAACAAATCCGGTAAAGAGACACTAGTTTCCAAGCATCAACTTTATTTAATCAACATAAATAATGTCATAAATTCTTATTTGATTCCAAATTTGCTTGCATGGTCTAAGTTGTGATATCAAACTAAGAATAACATGAAGAATCAGCTGAAACATGAAAATGAAAGGGAAGTAAAACTAAACAATAAATAGAAGAACAAGAGGAAATACCTGCATTATGGAGAACTGATAGGTCTCATAATCAAGAGCACAAACCAAAAAGTTAGTAATTTTGAGGCGCCTCAATCTGCAGACCCAACTCATTAACATGTCCTTGTAACTATATCCAGCAACTGTGAGCACAACTGTTCTATTCTTGTCTGCGTTTATTGCAAGGAGTGACTCTAAGGAAAAGGGGAAATTCAATGTATTTGAGGGAACTAATTGATCTTTCAGAGAGCAACCTGACATTCCATTCTGTGACTTTTTAATTTCAGCAATACAAGGCAAAGTTCTCTTTGACTTCCAGCATTTTGGGATGCTTCCTTTACATAAGCTCATCCTTTTGTTGGCATATGGATGAATGGTATCTTCTGTGGTACTAATAATAAGGAATTGAGCATCACATTTAAAAAGTTTCATCAAACCAGAATAATTAATTTTGTGAAGAGATGATGACCCATATAGTGCTGCAAGATGGGAATTGCTATCATATTCCCAACTTTCCTTTTCAGTGTCTGAAACAAAAAAGCTCTTAACTGAACAATTAGACCAGCTCCTTGAATCATCCAGAACAAAACTTGAGATGGCCCAACTGGCATCAAACACAAACCTGAATCCACTGGACAAGGCCTCGTTAATGAGCCAGTGATTGTGAACTCCCCTACTATACAGGAAAGGAGGAAGCACTCCATGATGTAAGGGCAGCTCTCCATTGTTCCATGCTATCATCATTCTTCCATCACAACAAGTCCACTGCCAGCTTGAGCCAAGTTTCTCCTGGAACTGATTAAATGGACAATGATGTTAAATGAATATTTCTCCAGTAGATCACCAACTTTGAATATGGATTCTGTACCTTCATACCTCCTGAATCCCTATCCTTTTGCCACCTTCTCTTAGCCAATATTTCCTATCTTCATCCAGATAGAATGGGAAAGTTAAAACTTTTCGCGAAGAAGCAAAAAGGAGCCAATCACGATCAAGTTCATGAGCATAATTCAATGCCAAAACAAAGTCGGGCAGGAGAATGGTTTCCGAATTGATAAAAGCATATATGTCAGATGTAAATGCCCGTGACCTTGCCACCATGGAATGAAAAAATGGAACCCCAAGAAACCTATTGAAATCGTAAATCAATGCGGATCAATTCACTGCTACAATATTACGATAACTCTAAGAAATCAATGAATAGTGGTTAAAACTTATAACATTTTTGTATTGAACTGAACTGCAGTCAATGACTAAGGATAAGAAGATTCGAATAAGGGAGTAAAATTAATTCCTTACGTGAAATCAATATCGGGTTCGACCAAAACCCTGGAACCAAAAGAAGTGGCAAAAGAAGCAACAGAAGGATGTTGGCTAAAGAGAATGACACTGATTTGAGGAGATAAAGCAAGCCATGAACGAATAGCTAGACTCTGTTTAGTCCCTAAAGAGCCTTTAAACGGAGTAGGCGCTGTGAAAATAGTGATTTTGGGAGCGTCCAGGTCGCTGAAACTTCCATGAGTGAAAATTAGATTCTTGGAGAGAGGTAACCTCTGCGTAGCATAAAGGGAGAGAGCAATTAGGAGAACCCCAGATAGCCAAACTGACCATAATCCAATCTGCAACGCCTGTATAAACAAAATGAAATATAACATACATTAAGAAGTTGATTTCAGGCAGTAAGAA